CTTTTCCTCACCAAGACTCTACCATCATCACCATCACCTTCTGGGGGGGAAAAAAAGCCATATAATTAAGGCTTGGATGCTTAATAGAATATATTTCAACTATCTGGAAAATGTACTCATCTATATTTCCTTGATGCTGTTGGATAGCAGAGAACTTGTCATATTTCTTTACCTTTCTTCATTATTTGTAATCGTCATTCAGGAACTAAATAGGCAATATGAATCATATGTCCTATAGTAAACCCAAAAATTACAACCACAGGTCCTTAACAATTGAAAAGAACCTACCAATCAATATAGTCCATTTTCTACCCATGACAGGAATTCCTTGTGACACATCTGAGACATTCCATCTCCCCAATCTCAGTGAAAGAGCTTTATTTCAAACTTCTTTATTATACTACATGATAATCTGCTTTTCTGTGACTTCCACTTAGTACGCCTAATTCTGCTCTCTAAAGTCCTTTCAACATTTGAAGAAAATTATCAGGTTTACTTTTGAGGCATTAGTTGTCATCATCTTAAATACAATCATAAAAAAAAATGTCAAAACACTTTTGGAAGCAATAACTATTTCAGCTTACTTTTTTTGTTTGTTTGTTTGCTTTGGGTTTTTTTTTTTTCCTCTGGCAATGGATAAACTATTTGCCAGTATAACCTGAAAACATGAGATGCATAGTCTTCCACATTTAAAGGTTCTAAAGCAAGTTTTTGCCTCATCAGTAAGGTAGACTTTTGAAGGGGGAGAGGGTGAGTAGGGAGAAACCATTTAGAATATTATTAGCTATTACGATGCATTAACATACTTTGAAGTACAGTGAAAGTGGTTAAGAACACATACAAAGGCGTCAAATTTTGTTTGAATCCAGCCTGGCCACTGGCTGTGTGAAATGGGGTATATTAATAAATGGATTGTTGTGAGGAATCAATGTGTTAATAATAATATATGTTAAGTATTTAGAACAGTGCTTGGCACAAAGAAATGCGTTTGTTAGTTATTATCATTTTTGCTATTACTATGCACCTACTTTAAATTGAATTTTTGTGGTAATACATTCAAGAAAAATCTAAAGATATTTTAATTACCTTGATTCAGATTTTCACAGCTCTCAGTAATAACCTTACTTTTATATGGTACTTTAGCAACCATATAATGGCAAACTATTCAGCCATTCAAAATCATTTTCAGAAGAATATTTAATGACATAAAAAATGCCTGCATGTATTAATTGGGAGATTAAAAAAGCAACTTGCCAACCTCATAAACTATATAATGTCAACTTTGTTTCTTAAAATATATAGGCAGAGGTCAGGAGAGAGACAGGCAACAGATCTCACTGGAAACTTATACAACAAAATGTCAACAGTAATATCTTTTGGTAGTGATGTTGCAAGTAACTTATTTTTCACCAGTTTGTTTTCTATATGGTCCAATTATTTTATAATAACCATGTATTAATTTTTTCATCAGAAAAAAAATCCAATTATTTTAAAATGTGCCTTACATAGGGTGTTCAAATCTGTTTCTCTAAGTTTTTTTTCTAAAGCTTGTAAGTAATGTAAGTTTCTCTACCTCTGGGAAATACAGGAAACAAAAATTGAAAGTAGTAAAATAAAGTAATAAATTCATCAAAATACAAAAGCCAACAAGGAATTATGTATAATTATATGCATCCCAAAAGTCTATTCTTTTGATTGCTATTTCGGCTATCCCACATGTTTTTCACGGCTATCAAACTTTTCCATTAAATTTAATTTACAAACACTGGGAGGTCACACAGTGATCCCTGTTATTTCCACTTCACAAATAAGATAAAAACAAAAGATTTTGTTACAAAATAGCAGAAAGTATTTGTCATAAGAATGAAATTTATAGTATTAGTGTATTAAAATTCCTTTGCTCTAAAAATTAGAGATGAAAATAAGCTAGTATTTTCTCTATTATGTTTTGTGAGTACTTACATTTAGAAACACTTGGTGTAGCGTCTCACCTTTTTTCTTTTCTTTTTTAAGTGGTAAAATTCTAGAGTCAATTACATAAGAAATGTTCTCAGCAATATTCACTGTTTTTAATGATCGATAGACTTTATTATATGCACAACCACCCCACCTCAGTTGGGGTATAAGAAAAAGTGAGATTTAGAAATAATTCTTACATACCGAAAATTTTCACTAAAGTTTTGTAGAATTCTAAATAGAGTGACTTCCATGACTTTTTAAACAGTAGACTAAAGAATATATTGTTTTGCCTATAACAGATATATCTCATTTTTTTTATTTTGGTAGAGCAAAAATGTTGCCACTTTATTATTTTTTAACCTCTTAACTTCTATACATATTTAACAATGTTAATGTAGTCTGAAATGAGATTACTGCAATTAAGAGTTTTTTTACCAAGTGGCTAAGTTGGTTAAGAACTCACTCAAGAGTGCGAGCTCTGAGCAACAGGGCTGCCGGTTCAATTCCCGGCCTGAGCTGAGCTGCCAACAGGTGGCAGGATGGCCCAGCTAAAAAAAACCAAAAAAAATGTTTTAAAAACCTAAGAAAAAATTTGTTTCCATAGAACTTGGGGAAAACACCATAATAATATAAAAACTCCTCATTAATATAACATTTGGCAATGTAGTAACCATAATCATCAAGAACATGCCAAAAATTACACAGGCAAAAAACTTATGTTCTGCCAAAATTTGTCATACATTATATATATTAAGTCATTTGAATTTCACATTATTTAGGATATGTGACCTATATAATTCAGTACATATATAAAACCTATATGCAATCCCTAATCATCATAATCATAATAATAATTCCGTCACTTCTCTACTAATCCATCTCTCCTCTTCACTCCCACAATCAACAACTCCCAAATATCACTTTCAACTCAAATAAATAATAGGAAACTTAGGAACTTTCGGTAAGTCAAAAAAGTATTCCAAACCGACTGCCCTTGATCAGTTTTTGAACATATAAGAAGAATAAGAAGTTAGCAAAACAAACTCTGAAACAAAATGGTGAGCAGGTTTCAACAAAGTCTCCTGAATTTATCAGTGCAGAATAAGGTGACTTATGAAAGGTTGCTTATGATGGGTCTGAAAAGAATTTCTCTCAGAGAGTACAATATTCTAATATATGCTAGCATTAGGGACTTTATCGTCCATTCATTCCAAATCTATCAAAGGGAGTCTTTAATTCTTTTTAAAGCCAGTAGAACATATTTGGAAAAACATGAAATTTAAAATAAATTAAAATTACAAGGCCTTAGAAAAATAAAATTAAAGGAGGAAGTTAATAAATTTCAGGCTTCATGGCTTCAATTATATGCTGGACAAAGTGATTAGTCAAACTAGTCAGAAGTCTACATAGAAAGGGAATAGATTCAATCAGTAGAGGTTTTTCCCAGAGTCCAACTAAGATGCTTGACCCTCTTCCAGCAGAGGGAGCAAAATCATAATATTCGAACTCAGGCCGCAAAAAGAAGAGGACAGAAGGGTTTAAAAGTGCCTTTTAAATATCTTAAAATCTATCTAGACATTTTTTTAAAAGCACTGAAAATACCTTTTGAAACAGAACTAAAAATCAACCCAAAGGAAAAGACAGATTTTATTTTTACAAACACTTCAAGGTTTTGAATGAGAAAATAATCCCTAAATATTTAATTTCAAAAACTGTGGCATACTTTGTTGTTCACCAAATCTCACAGGTAACCAAGGTATTGAAACATTATGAATCCTTAATTTAACAAGGTTTCAAGAAAATGATAAAATAATGTATTAAACACATTTGTATTATAGAAGTAATTTATTCACATGACAAAAAAAAACGACAGAAAACAAAGGAAAGTATAATTTTATTACCCTAAAAATCTATTTCCTCCCAGTATCTTTTCATATGCATATTTTCATACTATAAAAAAGTATTATTATAACATTTATTTAGTGCTTACTATATAACTAAGCACAGTTCTAAGCACTTTTACATGTTATAACTCTTATAATCCTTACCAAAGCCCTATTACATCCTATTATTATTCCACATGTAAAGATGAAACAAGTGAGACACATAGAAGTTATATAAATGGCTAAAATGTTACACAGCTAATAAATAACAGGAGCCAAGATTCTAACCCAGATAGACTGGGTAACAGAGCCTACACTCTTAACCATTTGACTGTGATCTTATGCTTTTCCGCTATCTTTACCATCTTCTTAGTGTCAGTCTTCAAAGTCTTTTTAAGGCCTATAACAGTCCATCTAGTATGGATATAATAAATTATGCTGTTTCCAGTTGTCCCTTATAGATACAGTAAAATAAATATATTTGGGTATATTACTTTTGCTATGTTTGGGTTATTGTAATAAAGTATTTTTTATATTCAAATATACCACCAAATTGCTTTCCAAAATATTTGTTCTATTAACAAAGCTATTATAAGTTCCAATGTCACCATAAATTTGCCAGCAGTAACATTAAAAAACTTATTTTCTAATAGTTAAAAATGAAGAACCATGCTGCAAAATGAACTATCATTAACATTGCATACTAATGTAGTTTACTAATTCAATTTTCTCTTTTGTGAATTTTAGCTTATATGCTTTATGTAGTTACCAACTCAGATCTTAAGTTTGCTTATCAATTTATGAGCTTTTTATAGGAATATTAATCCTATGTCCATCATATATGCAATAAAATGTTCCCAATATGCTGTTTCCCTTTTAATATGGTTATTAAGTTTTCATTTGTTTTTGATAATAAATCTTTGTTAAAGGCAATCATAGTTGAAAGTTACAAGGTCTTAAAACCTTACAATTTTCTAAATAAAGTTACTCCATTGCTTTGAGCATATTAATGAATGACTTTCAAATAAAAGACTTAAACAGAAACCTATGTCAAAATATACATGTTCAATTAACAGTTTGATCAATTTTGACATCTCATAAAATTAACTCAGTGAGTAAAAGCCCACTATACCCCAAATCACCAAAAGAGCTACATACCTGTCGCTGTAAACATAGGCGATTTCTGTCATGCAAATGCTGATGATTCGAAAGTGATGAATGCCAACTCCGAGCCTGACTATGCAACTGAGCTTGAGCCATATCAGAAGGCCGTGCTACAAGATGTGAAGTAAAGTGCCGATCAAGGTCATGATCTAAAACATGACTTGAATTTTCCTGCCCAAATGTTGACTCATCAAATTGGGGAAGGAGACCCTCCTGAAGGAGGTCTTCTGGGTCAAGTCCGGTGAATGGCTCAGTTTGAGACTCCACTTGATGAAGTAAATTCTCTTCTAAAGATGAAAAGCCATTAGTTTCTACATGATCGTTGAAATGGCCCATTTGAGTTCCTGAGTCAACAGGACCCGGGAAGTTCATGTGCACAGGAGATAATTTTGAATTGCTATAATTACCCTGAGGATGTGATGAATGCATCATTTGGAAATTGTTTGAATTCAGCGATGTATTGGGATTTAGCATATGCTGAGTAGATTCTTGCTTGATTCCCCTATGAGGCGAAAAGGAATTACTTCCAGCAAAGTCAGATAAAGTCTGATTTGCATGCGTAGGGGCTAGGACTGCAGAGGACTGAAGAAGGCTGTTTGGAGACACATGATTACTGGAAAAGGAGTAATGTGAAGAAAACTGCTGTGAATTACTGACAGAACAAGAAGTCATATTTGGAGACGGTCCATTAAAATTTCCTTCTTGCCGATTGCTACACTTGAGAAAGTGTACTGAAGGATTTGATGTTTGAGAAAATTGTTGCATCGAAAGAGACTGTTGTGAAGTAGGTACATTAGTTATTTGTGGTGGGTGGTTAACACTGACTCTGTGTGGACCAGAAACATTAATATCCATAAAATTTTTAGACTGGCTAAGAGAATTTTGCCCTGGGTTAAGATTATTTCTGTTTTGCTGTGAGCGCAGTGAAGTACATTGTGAGTGTTGTTCATTGGCCTGAAATAAGGCAAAGTCATGGTGTGCCACAAAGCTTTTATTCTGATGCATAGAGTGAGAATGTCCTTGTTGGTGAAAAGGAGATCCGTTTTGATTTGAAATGCCAGTAGCTGTCTGATGGCCCCACATTGGACTGCCATCTGTGACATCTGGAAACAAACCATTGGGCTGGTTTTGGGGGTGGATCGGAGAACAATTAAACTGAGAGTGTGGAGATAACACATGTTCAGCTGGGCTACCAAAAGACTGATTAACATGATGAAATTTCATTGAGTCAAACTGATTTAACTGTTCATAATCAGTCATCTTCTGATGAGTTGGAGTACCTTGAACATGATTCAATGAGTCTATGTGCAAAGGTTCAAATTCTGCACCCAAGTTCAATTCATCAACTAGTGAAACAGGTCCTGGTTGTACAAATGCATCATCTGACAAACCTTCTAAAGTCTCACTAAAAAGATTGGCATCATCAAAAAAGTCCATCATTGGATCTGTCATCTTGAAAAATTCAGTAACAACCTGAGCTTTTCACTCCAAATGAAGTCTATTCAGCTTCTCTGTGGTAGATATTATTGGATCATTTCCAAAGGTCATCAACTAATCCGAAGCAGGTCAATGTTCATGACTGCTCTAGAAGATGACATGTCATGAAATGTCAGAATCCTAGAAAAACAAGAACAAAAGCAATTAAAGTTTATTTATTTAAATAATGAGTATTCATTAAACTCTACAAAGTTTATATGTGATTTAAAAACAAAAATCTCAGGTGGCCAAGTGGCACATTGGTTAAGAGCTGGCTTGGGACGCCAGAGGGCCCCGGTTCGGATCCCACATATGAAGGCCAGTAACACTGCCCTCTACAGCTAAGATGCTGAACAACAGCTCAACCTGGAGCTGGGCTGCTCAGTCGCCAGCTACAGCGTAGGTTGCAGCCCCTGCTGCAGTGGGTTGCCATGGGCTACCATGTGTAGCCAGCAGCCAGCATGAGCAGCCATCAGCCAGCGTGAGTGGCCATCCAGAAGCCAGCGACTGATCTACCTCAACCGGGAAGAGCACAATGATGGTGCCAACTTGGGCCAGTGAAGCAACGTCCTCCACAACTAGACTGAAGAACAAAAGGACAGCAACTTGTCTGTTCCCCTTCCCCCAATTCCCCAATAAAAATCTTTAAAAAAAAAAAAAAAAGATTTTTTTTTTAACTACGAAAAAAAGGAATTATTTTTCCAGATTTTATAACTGTGAGACCGAGCAAATGGAAGGCTATGCAGGCTGAACTGAACAAAGCATTAGCCAAAAAAATAAGGTAGGTTAAATCACTTCTCTGGAACATATCTTTTATTTAGTTAGCGCAGACTCTAGACGAGGGAACATTTATGTATACCTAAGCCATTAATTAGGAAAGCAATGTCTTATGTTTTTATATGAAGATATAATTATTTCTTCAAGAACAAGAAGAAAATAAAAATACAATGAAAGTTACTGAATCCAATATGCCATCAATTATAAGGTACATCAGTTGATATAACATGAAAAAATGCTGCCAATTCAACTATGATGCAATACCGCTTCCAATTTTTATTTTATAATTAATGAAATAACTTTCTTAATTGGCCAATAAACACATGAAAACTCAGTATCAGACATTAAGGGAATGCAAATTAAAATCACAATATCACTTCATACCTACTAGAAATGATATAAAAAATGGAAAATAACAAGTGAGAGGATGTGTAGACACTGAAAACCTTACACACTGCTGGCAGGAATGTAAAATGCTGCAGGCACTGAGAAAAAGAGTGGTGGTTTCTCAAAAAGTTAAACATAATTACCATATAACCTAGCAATTCTATGCCTACATATACACTATACACTCAAAAGAATTAAAAACAGGGACTCACATAGATATTTATACACAAATGTTCATAGTAGCATTATTCACAATAGCGAAAAGTTGAAAATAATTCAAGTGCTGATCAACAGATGAATAAATCAAATCTGATATATACATAATATGAAACATTATCTAACCATAAAAAGGGGATGCAATTCTGATACACACAACATGAACCTTGAAAACATTATACTAACTATGATAACCAGACACAAAAGGGAAAGTATTGCATGATTTCTCTTATATGAGATATCAAGAATAGGCAAATTTAGAGACAGATTACCAGGGGCGGGAAAAGAAGAAAGCAGGGCGGTGCTTTCTTTTATTTATTTTTTTTTTAGCTGAGCCATCCTGCCACCTGTTGACAGCTCAGCTGGGGAAGGGAATCGAACCACTGTTGCTCAGAGCTCAAACTTAACCAACTGAGCCACTCGGCCGGCCCTAGAAAAAGTAGATTCTGTTTGGGATGATGGAAAAATTTGGAATACTTGGAAATAGTGGTGATGGTTGCATACTACTGTAAATAGAAACGCCATTGACTTGTCCACTTAACGGTTAAAATGGTAAATTTTACATCCTAGCTTCACGCGCGCGCACTCCTTCCCCAAGGCCCGTGCACTTGATGAGGGCACCCTTCCCTCATTCCAGAGTCTTCTCAACTTTCTCAGTGAGGCCCTTCCTGACCACCTATGGAAAACATCATCATTTCCTTCCACATCTCACATTCCCCAGCCCTGCTTTATATTTTGGACTTAGTATAACCTAACATTCTATATATTTTACATATTTATTTTGTTTAAAGTCTATGTTCCCTGTAAAATGTAAATTCTAGGCAGTCAGTTTTTATTGGATGTATCCCTAGTACCTATTAAACAGTATCTATCACATAGTAAGCAGTCAACAAATATTTATGGAATGTACAAACAACTTTCTTTTTAGGTGGGGGAGAAGGAATGCCATGAAAGGCAGAAACTTTCTTTTGTCCTTTTTAAAAAACCTATGTAAAATTTTTTTATAAAATGGCAACAGTGGTTGTTATCTGGATATTGAATTTATGGCCCATTTAAAAAATGGTTTTAATTTTTAATTGTAGTAACATATACATAACAAAATTTGCCATCTTAATGATTTTTAAGTGTACAGTTAAGTATATTCACATTGTTGTGCAACCAATGTCTAGAATTTTTTCACCTTGCAAATTTGAAACCGTGTGCCCATTAAACAACTCTGCATTTTCCCCTTCCCAGCCCGTGGCAACCACCATTCTACCTTCTGTTTCTATGAATTTGACTACTTTAGATAACTCATACGTAGAATCATATATATATATATATTTTTTTTTTTGACTGGCTTATTTTACTTAACAAGGTTCATCTACTTTATAGCACATTATAATATACCATTGTATGCATATTATGGCTCATTTTTAATGTGGGGGGAGGTATTTTTCAAGTTCTTTTTGAATAAGAAGCATGATGTGTTGCTAATAAAAATCCACTCTTCGGTATTATACAATACTAAGCTATTTTATGGGAAGTGGAGTAAAATATATCTAGATGGCAAATCCCAAACTCTGACCCAATTTTCAGCCCTAAACTGCTTAGAAAACTTCTAACGAAAGTACTCTGAAAGTAATTCTTTAATTCGGACATCAACTGCGTCTCTGCTTAAAATACTTAACAGTTACTTATAAGCCTAAAATGGACATTTTCAAAGTAGGCTAAAAGGATCCAAGAGAAATTTCATTACCCAACTTTGCAGACTAAAACCTATTAGTATATTACTTGCTTTACCCTTGGCAGAAGACCAAAATTCTCATCTCTGGTACTAACTGAATGTGTGACAACATATTTAACCCTCTGGCCTGCAGTTTCCTCATCAATGACCAGCTTAGATTCGATGCTTGTAAAGGTGTATATTTTGGTTTATTTTCTGTCCACATATTTACAAATGTTTAAGAACTCTAAAGATTTCCATGAAAGGAATTTAAAAACAAACACCCCAACCAACTAGAGATATAAGCTCTATCAGGGAAAAAAAAACAAAAACTTAAAATCCTCAAGGAATAAATGCAAGGAAGATATAAAGTAGAGGGCTCCATATTCTGAAATAAAAACTTATCTGAGATTTAACTTCAAAAATACTTTTTAATTTCAAAAAAAATCGTACTGATTTTTTCTCTTGAAGACAGCAATCATAATGTTCTCTATACCTGAAATTCTCCAAAAGATTAACTTAAAGGTCATTATATTATGATTGTTCTCATTTTTTTAAAATTTTTCATGCTTATATGACCTTAACATATAAAAATACATGTACTAGCAAAAATTAGAAACTAACAGAAAAATAAACCAATTAGTAATAGTTATGCAAGACATCCTCCTACATTATTTCCAATAGCTAATTAACAATTCTTTAGGTTTTATTAACGTACAATATACAAAATCATTACAAAAGCCCACTTGATAGGGGACTTTGATGTGATGTGTTCCAATCTATATTTGTTTATACAACTCTATTAACTCCCATCCTTAATTCTGCTCTATGTATTCTTGATATGTTTTGGATTAGTCTAAATGTACAAGTATTATGTATATATTCAACTGCTTGATTATAAATTACACTACTAGTTAATTAGAAAAATATCCAGCAAATACGAGTCAACCATGGCATAGCTGAAGGAGCTCAGGAGTAAGTTCCAAGTCCAACTGCCATCTATAAGCTGTGTAACCTTGAGCAGTTCTTGGAAGCTCTCAGTCTGTTTCCTCATCTAACCATCTACCATTGCAGGGTTGTTGTAGAGTTCAGAAGAATATATTCAAAGTACTAAAATATAGGAAGTGCTCAATAAATATTATTTCCCCTCTCACTGACCTGTAGAACTAGGCGCATAGACCAAGATTCTATATTGACTTCCTAAAAAAATTACTAAGATCCAAGCCTATTATATCTGATTGTACTTAGATTGTACTTCCAACTCATTTTAAAAATATTTTATACTAATCAGTAGTCATCATATGCCTAAACTTAACTTTGCCCTGCCAACATATATACTCATTTGATTCCCTTGCTAAAGATAGCAGGGTCTCTCCACTCTTATTTGCTTCCATTACCCTATAGGTAATCCATGCTTCAACCTCATTATAAATATTTCCTGAATTCATCAAACTTTCTCACATCTCCATTAATACTTTCTGGAAGTTCTCTGCATACAACAGCACTCCCCACCACTCACCTTCCACCATTTGATAAAGTAATGCCTTTGTGATTCAACTCAAGCTCTACCATCTCTAGGAAGCCTGTGTATACGTACACACGTGTGTACACACGTGTACACACACACGTACACGTACACGTACACACACACACACACACAGAACTGTTAATTTTTGTATTCCACACCTTACACACGGCTTTATCATTTTTGGTCTACTTTGTCTGTCTTCCCCACTAAATGCAACAAATGCAAATTGAGTCTCATTCATTTTTGTATCCCTAACATCTACTATAATAATTCCTGGTACAGAGCAAATACTCAAACACTTTCAAGAATTAAAAAATGTCCTAACATAAAACAAAACCTTTCAATCCTTACTAGTTATGCCAAAAGTTGAGATCCAAAAGCATTCTTTTAAGCAATGGTATATCATTTTATGACTTTAAGAATGCCCCAATGAACGATATGCTTTAAAATGTTAAAATAGTAAAGTCTGTTATATTTTAAAACACACACACACACACCACCCATATGAATGGCTCAGTGATGCAATTT